TAAAAAAATTTACCCCCCTCACAGTTGTCATGAAGGGCAAAATTAGCTATATAGACCAAAATAATTTTTTGAACCAGGCTGTAAACATGTTTTTTTCTGCTGTAAAGTTGGGCATTTTAACATGGGGAGTCTATGGGACTATGGCCTTTTGCAGCCAGCCTCTAGCGGCCAGTTGACGAATTACAGTTTAAGTCACTTCCGTGTTGGCTTCACGAGAGAGAGCGGGAGGTTGCCGCTTGGTCACGATGCACAATACCGCTGTATGCTGCGTCAAAGACGTGAGAAGACATGAGAAGAGCATGGCGGAGCACGTGAAGGAGAATGATAGCACATTCACTCTCTGACAGCAGATGGCGCTAAACAGCAGAAATGCAGCCGTTAACCCCGGAAACCCCGTAAAGGAAGCAGCTGAGCTACTTTGTTTCTGAAAGGTGTTTAAATGATTTAAATAGCCATTCAGATTCACTATGGTGTTCATTACAGCGCCAAATACTTAAATATTTAGACTTAATAGGCTATTTATATTCAATCTTTTTTTACATTTGTGACCCTGGAGCACAAAACCAGTCTTAAGTGTCAATGTTTAGAAATTGAGATTTATACATCATCTGAAAGCTGAATAAATAAGCTTGTTAGGATAGGACAATATTAGGCTGAGATACAACTATTTGAAAATCTGGAATCTGAGGGTGCAAAAAATCTAAATAATGAGAAAATCATCTTTAAAGTTGTCCAAATGAAGTGACATTTACAAAATATCTTCATGGAACATGATCTTTACTTAATATCCTAATGATTTTTGGCATAAAAGAAAAATGTATAATTTTGACCCATACAATGTATTGTTGGCTATTGCTACAAATATACCCCAGCGACTTAACACTGCTTTTGTGCTCCAGGGTCACATTTTAATCTGGACTACAACATGCCCTAGATATTGCGTGAAAGTGTTTTGATTCTTTATTGTTCGGTCACACTTTGCATTAGGGCTTCATTAGTTAACAAAAACTGCCAATGAAAAATTCTTCTACACATTCATTAATCTTAGGTATTCCAATATTTAATAACACGTTTTTAAAATCAAAAGTTGCAACTGTGTTGCTAACATGAACAGAGTTGTATTTTTCAACAAAGATTAATAACTTCTGTTGCGAATGTAGCTATCGCTCATTGTGAATGTTAACGCATTAACTAAGATTAACTAATGAGATCTTATTGCAAAGTGATACCTATGGGTCTTTATAATTGTTTAGCACTTTAATCGGTGTAAAATTTGTAACTTTTTTGTGTATTGCTTTATTGTATTTAAATGTTCAGTTATTTTCGTTATAAGAAAGACGTTATTAAACCTGTTATACTGTATTATGACAGCACTTTTTTGCAACTAAATTTCAATACCGTGATAATAACTATGAAAATTGACACTGCAACATGAAAATTTGATACCGGCATATCCCGAACTCCTCGTACCTTCATCTCCTCCTTGTCTTTGGCCAGCATGCTGATGTACTGCTCCTTCTCATAGTGTCTTTGTTTCATGATGGCTCTTTGGTTCTGATACAGCGCGATGTATTCACCTACACACACAACACAACACATCCGTAAACAAAAACTCCTGATGCGACGGCGTCAGATTTTCACATCACAATAACTGCTACATCTCTCATCACTGAATTGAACAAAACTAATTTTAAGTGCAAAGGAACAAAGAACAACAATAAAGAAACAGATCATTTTCAAACAATATCTAGATATCTTCTATGGGCTGGCTTGAGTTAGTTTGTGTCGGCATATCCCGAACTCCTCGTACCTTCATCTCCTCCTTGTCTTTGGCCAGCATGCTGATGTACTGCTCCTTCTCATAGTGTCTTTGTTTCATGATGGCTCTTTGGTTCTGATACAGCGCGATGTATTCACCTACACACACAACACAACACATCCGTAAACAAAAACTCCTGATGCGACGGCGTCAGATTTTCACATCACAATAACTGCTACATCTCTCATCACTGAATTGAACACAACAAATTTTAAGTGCAAAGGAACAAAGAACAACAATAAAGAAACAGATCATTTTCAACCAATATCTAGATATCTTCTATGGGCTGGCTTGAGTTAGTTTGTGTAAACAAGTGCAAAGTAAAGATAAAGTCTTTATAGAAGTATTTGAAGTTGTTTGATGGAAAAGAAGCTAAAGTGCATTTAATTTATAATAAGATATCTACAAATATTTATTGTGTTGTGAATGTGAAGTGATAATACTATGCATTATCTGCGATATATCCAACATATTACTAAATACGGGCACATTATTAATTAATCAGAAAATAAGCATAAGTAGAAAAATGTATATCGATTATAGCAGTAGCAATTTTCCCTTTTAAAACGTTTAAATTAATATATTAAATATTAATAGCATTAATTATTATTACTTATTAATATTAATACTATTAATTAAATAGAAAGTTTAAAACTGAGCACAAGTAGAAACATTTATACTGATTATATAGTATTACCTGTGTTTTATTGAATGAATGAATTCATTCATTATTTTTTTAAACCAATATTGCCATTAATAGTATTATTTTACTTAAGTAATACGTTTAAAACAGAGTAGTAGTATAAAGATTGATATTGACTATAGATTGTTGGATTTTTTTTTTACTTTTTGAATTGATATTATAAAAATAATTGCTATTAATAGTATTTATTACTATTACGTATTATTAATTAAATAGAAAATTCACATAGAAAACAGCTGTTTTACATTAGAATAATATTTAGCAATTTTTACTGTATTTTTAATTAAATAAATACAGCCTTAATGAGCAGAAGAGACTTCTTTCAAAAACTTAATGTGTATAGGAGATTTTCAAACTACAGGTCTTAAATGTCTTAAAAAGTTTATTAAAAGCAAAAATAGAATAGTCTGTGTGATTTGAGTGCAGTGAAGCTCAGGATGAAGCTGCACCTGTGCTGTGATGATGATGCTGCAGCTGCTCGTGGCTCATGGCTGCCATCTGCTGTCGAACAGCGTGATGAAGTCTCCTCTCCTCCTCGAACCGGCGGCTCATCTCATCTCGCTCTTCCTCCAGACGCGACAGAGCAGAGTGAATAAACTCCTCCTACAACCAGAGGAAAAGAAAAAGTCACTTCCGAGTGAAACTTAACATTTAATAAGGAAAACATGTCAGGCGCAGCTCAAAAAAAGTACATTTCGACTGTAAATCTCCATATTATCCACACGAGTCTATTCAGATGCTGCATAGTTTGTTCATGTTTAATCAACTCACCATCTCTTCTCTGCTCTCAAAGTCTTCTGGGATGACGATGTGTGACTTCTGGAAGCTCTCTGGGAGAGAATAACTTTCCAAGCCATCACCTTTTAACATCAGTAGGGACAGTAATCATCAGTACAGTTAGTGCGGTGAAGCAGATTTTTCTCTCACACCAGACAGCCGAGTTAGGAGCGCAAACACTACAGCTGCACAAAAATCAGTATCCCTTTGAGACAAAGGTTTCCAAACTCGCTTTTTCAGCCAGACTCTTCAGACACAAAATATTTACTTGATGTTGTTGTATTTAAATGCATTGCCACATCGGCTTCACGGTCTATTACATGGAAGATCAGGGTTATTATAGTTCATCAACATTAAAATTAAAACCATTAAAAACATTAGTGTAACTTTAAATAAAATAAATGTACTACTCTACTAGTTGCCAAGGCAACATTTCTCATTTTAATTAAATTTGATGTACTAAAACTGAAAAATTAATAATAATAACATTTATATAGACATATAAATCATAAATCAACTTTTAAAGTCACTTTTAAAAACACACTTGTTTGATCTGGCCTACTAATATCCCATTGTTATTACATTGTATTATGGTCTTGATCATTACTCTGTCTTCAGAATGTTTATCTGTCATTCCTTTTTATTAATTATTTCTGTTTTATGTGTTTATGGTTTGATTTTAATGTACAGCACTTTGGTCAGTTTTGTGGCTGTTTTTAAATGTGCTTTATAAATAAATGAACTTGAACTAGACATATATATAAATAAATAAAAAACGCAAAAACGACTAAAGACAAACAACAAAATTACTAAAATTCAAAATACTAATAAAAACTATAATAGTATTTAAATGCATTACCATATCGGCTTCACAGTCTATTACATGGAAGATCAGGGTTATTATAGTTAGTTATAGTTACCATTAAAAAATGATTGTTACTTGAAATAAAATAAATGTAGAAAAATAGTAGAAAAATTTCTACTAGTTGCCAAGGCAACAGTTTTCATTACAATTGTGATGCAGCATATTTCACATTTATGTCTAAAAGTTGAGGTTAAAAATGCAATTTAAGATGCAAATTAAAAGCCTTGAATGCAGTGGTTATCAACCAGGGCCTGGCCACAAGATGACTTAAGATGTTTTTTTTTTTTATATTAAAGAGCTTAATTTACCCCCAATAGCAATAGTTTTTCCATGTAGAAAAAAATGGATATATAAGGAAGTTATTTTAAAGTCATATTTTTATTTTATTAAAATTATATATTCTTTATAATTAATATAAATGCATTCAGCTCTTAAAACTTATTTTAGTTTTAATCATAACTATTTTAATTTTTTAATATTAATTTCACATTTTTTAATTTTAAGTAGTTTTTGTCAGTTCTGAATTTACAGAAACTAGGAGTGCCCATAGATTAAAATAAGTTTCAAAAACAAAACTAGGGCTAGGGGCCCTTCGAACATCATTGTGGAGAATGAAGGGGGCTTAAGAGTCAAAAAGGCTGGTCTAATGCATTTAAAAGAACATATTAATCTAAATATACTACAATAAGGATGCGCATGCTGCATGATCTAGTATCTTCACTTGTAAGTTTAGAGTCAATTGTAAAATTTAACAACTAAAATGCGTGACACAAAGCATGCGTCACATGGTCAGTGTAGGTCACCTGTGCTTGGTACTGCAGACTGAGAGCGTCTCTCTCCTGCTGAAGGCTGCTGATGGTTTCCTGAAGGGCCAGTTCACTTTCTGAAGGGCCTGAGGCCTGTGACACGGCCTGCGGCTCCTGCTCTTTACTCATCAGAGCTGCGGACACAAGACAAACCTGTCATGTTTCTGTCTGAAATGTGTTTCCTCACTCGATACCTGAATGTTCTTTCTGGACACATGATGAAAAAGCTAACTGGTCTGTGTTTGTTTTATAAAACAGATAGTTCCGGTGCTTGATTCTGATTGGCTGAGCCGCGTTCGAAGCTGTTGTAAATTACTCTACAAACATACACCTTTGTTTACTTCTGTGTGTTGCTCGGCAACCACTTTGTAGCAACCACAACTGTTTCTGAGGAACTACATTGTTTGGTGGAAGAATACTGTTTTTATTAATATCACTACACTTTATTTGCTCTGTTTTATTCTGTGAAACCTTACTACATATATGGAATAACCGTTTTGCGCTTCGCGTCGTACCCAACAACAATGTCCCTTA